TGATAGAGAGACCGCCTCTATCGGCAAGACAAAGCTAAGGAGGTGCTCTCTGAAAGAAGTCGTCGAAAATAGTGCAGCACACGCTAAGGTTGCCCTAGGACCACTCTAGCAGCAGCAAGTCGAAGTTAATGGTTATCAGCAAGTGAATGGTGAAGCTCCTAGACAGTTCCATGTTGAGAAACAGGTGTCTTCGCTGAGGAGGCCTCTGATATGATGGTAGACTTGCTCACTAAAATGGGTTTTGTGGATAACAAGAAGGCGGCCGAGGATCTCGTTGGAGAACTCCTCAAACTCCCCTGATGATCTTCAGAGAGTTGCTGATCACATCGATGACCTAATTGAAGGTAGAGAGCCACTTGCTACTGACAGCTTGGACGACACTGCCAAGAAGCTTATCGATATGTTGGACGACTCCGGTGTGGTTCAGGACAGAGTTGCCGCTGAGAATCTAGTCAATGTTTTGATGGATGCAGGGCAAGATATCGATAAGGTCCTTAGCGACTTCGTGGACCGCACAATGCCTGACAAGCAGCAGCAGCAGAAGAAGGCGGTTCAGCAACAGTAGAACTCGTCAAGTTTTCGAGTAGTAGCAGCTAACAGCTCAACTCATGACTGCGTGAGTTATTCTCTCGAGTTGTTTTTCATCACATCAAATACACTCATCTCGTTATTTTTACTTTCATGTGTTGAGAAAATGATTTCTCCTTCAACTAGATATGTGTTGAGTTGTAAGTAGAAAGCTCATTGAGTTAAACTCAATAGTGATTCAAATGCTTCTTCAATAAGGCGTCTTATCCGAGGGATTTGTTTCGTAGGGTTTTAGGCAAAAAATTTACTTAATTCATTTTCTTACGGTAGGACGTGTTTTTCCTTGTAAAAACTTCCTTGTGAATTTCACAACGTCACTGTGAAGTTCATAATGTGAAGTTCACATGGTATTGCTGTAGCTCACGCTGCTCAGCGGTGACCATTGATGTCTAACCCCTTCTCCAACGTCAACAATATCATCAAAATACATAGTGTCAATGTCACCGGGCTATACCCATGAGGGCGATGAGTTGACCATTTGTTGCTCAAATTCCTTTAGCAGTACAGCGGTTAGGGCTAGCTGTAGTAGTTAACAATGTGAAGCTCCCAATTGGTCGTAGATTGTGTGTTTGCTGAATGATTTACTGTCGAGTCCTGAGTAGTGTACACTAGTGACTTGGCTTCACTCATGTACAACTGTAACGCACTACGACTAGGCAAGGACCCCTGTACTTCTAAAACATATCGTTGTTTTTGGAGTAGTAGATGAACACTGGTGCGGAAAACCTGTGACACCCCATATCGTGGATGATCCACTGTCAACAAGCACATTTTTCTCATGCCTGAAGGCGCGTTTATTGCGCCGTACCCAGGTGAGGCACCACTGGAACCTGGTACCAACTGTAAACATTCACAACTGCGGGCTTTACTCCCAGCATTGTGTTTTGAAGTTGTTAAACTTGTCCTTTTACAAAACCTAATTTCGTAGATTGGACAGCGAAACAAAGCTGAAATTTGTCCTTGTATGAAATGAATCAATTCTTTACAAATCCTCATCGATGCATATAGGAAAAGGATTGATATTCAAATATTGTTTTACATCCACATTCAATGGAGGAGATCTCACAGGTAACAAAGCTTATCGTAATTACTCTCAGAATGTCTTCAACTTGGCACACAAGGCCCGAACACTTCTACTCCGTAAAACAGTCCATTTTAAAACACAAACCCACAAACTTTGAATGAAACGCCTAGGCTTCTCAAATGGAGTCTTGAAATATTGGCTTCAACTGAAATTAGCGCTCAAATGAGCAGCAACTCAATATTGTGCAACTATAATAATATTTATATCTTCAAACTGCTGATTAAATCAACCCAGTAGATCAATCTTATCAGCCTTGGGATCACGAGGGTGTTTAGGACCAGCCCAACCCCATCGAGGTTCTGCTGCCTGCAACTTCTTACCAGCCTTCTTCTGCTTCTGCTCATACTCCTTCACTTCCTCTTTCACACCTCTCATAGCAGCAGCATCATCCATAGCTTGTCTCTCCTCGGGAGTCGGCACGGCTTGTCGTTGACGGGCTTAGA